AAAAAAAAGATATCTGTTTATAGGAGCATCTATCAATAAATGAGAACTGTCTTTGAGTAGCGCTCTGTTTACGTCATGTAGCCATGAATATTAAAGATTTTATTACATAACCGGGAGATTCCTATTGGATTGGACAAACATGAAAATCGAGATTAATAAACTGTGTGCGGGCACATGAAAGCAACCTGATGTAAAGAAAGGTCAAGGTAAATATACATGATGTCGTTTTGTTATGAAAATTCGTCCATGCTTAAAAATACCCTACGGCGATACATTTCTTGCTCACACTGGCCAACGCCCGTTGGGTGTGTTTCATGTTCCGTTTTTATAAATCTGACCGCACACTAGGCTCATACTGCTTTATAATATACACTAAAAGGCATTTAGCAAAACAGATATCAGAGAAATGCGCGCGCCATCACGTAATAGATCGAAATACGAGTCGTCATTAGACAGCTTTTCACTGTGAATGGTTTTCATCAGTGCCAAACGCCTGTATTTGCTATTTTAATGCTGATTTTCACGAGTGTCAAATTCAGTTTACATATTATATGTATCATTTTAAGGATTCCAGCTGGCGCTGTGAGAGCAAGCCCCCTGTACAAACAGGTTGGCAGCTTTTGATCTGTTTGTTGCTGTGAGCAGAATTTGGGTTTCCTGGCTACCATAAGGTCAGAAACCACTGAAGATATAACAGCATTGCTAAAACCAGCTCCTTCTGTTCACAAAAACCCTAGAAAATTCAAGCTAAAAATGCGATAAATATTTATGTTGTGCTACAAATCAAAAAGTCGAGTTTTATACTCAAATCGCTTTTCAACATTGCCTCAAGTCAATCTACAATAACCAATTATCTTAAAACGCCTTTCCGAGTTTAATAACAAACAATTCTAGAAACAAGCATATGGAAATTCATGTTTATTTCCAAGGTTGGTTGGTATTTATAACTTGCACCTGGAGGGGAAGTCAAGTTGTTCCTACACCATCATCCAATATAAAGGGGAATAATTACAAGATATCATCAATTTAAATCATCAATTTAAGTTTATCATATCGCTCACTAAATTGCGTCATACAGATTGTTTTTAAAGACAATAGATATTTCCAGAAGTTCCGTTACCACAGCAACGTTTACTTCCGATTGTCCTACGCATGCTTAATCACGTGACCTAATCAAAGACGTCTTTCATATCTGAGCTAAAATGCATCATATTTCGACAAATCTGCCACATCTCCTTTCCGCTGTGAAATAGACTGGGACTCCACCCTTTTTTGTGCGTTTGTGTGTTCTTATTTTTCACAAGTGGCGAAATCAAGTTCACTTAAAATAACTATTGAATTAAGATAAAAATAAATAAAAATCTATTGTCGTACTTCAAAGCTTGAATGGCTTTAAAGTACATGAAAATTAAACGATTAAAAAAAGATATAAAAAGCATCACTTTCCTTGGAGTTACCGTAATACAAACGAGTCAACTAGTCATCTGATGTTTACAAATCCGCATGTAAACTGTTCCGGCAAATCGACACTCGGTACGTGTGCAACCTTGACCCATATGAAGAGTTTGTTCGTGCTCATGAACCAGTTCCCTGTGATGTSGAAGGCGACCTTTTAGTTATTTATACTTAATCTAAACAGATCACATTTCCATCGCAAAAACGCAACTCTAAACTATAACTCAGTTGGAATCTGCAGAATTCTACTCGCGTGCAGCTTCAGACGACAGTTGCATGCATTTGTATGGCGCCTATAATGAAAGACTATGCTCTCGACGTGACGAAATGTCGAAGGAACGTTTGCTATGTTCGATATTGTCTGTAAGTCGACACGACTCGAGTGACGTCAGAAATATTCTGAAGTCCGCCAAAAGGCATCTTGAGATTTGGAGATTATCACAGTCAATATCATGTAACTTTATAAAAATACACAGGGTCATTTGTCGTTGAGTACCGTTTCCTCAAAATAGGTGGGAGGGGATATTGCGGATGAAATGCTCTTCCTATAAGCTTGATATTACTTTGTCCACTTCCTTGTTTCACACTCATCAATCTACAAAATGTGTTAAAGCAAGCTATCCACCGTCTATCAGTGACAGTAATGTAAAGTCGCCTCGAAAGGGCGTTGCCCCCATAGTCTGGGGTCCTGGGGTTCCTCTAAACACCCCCAAACAACAAATAATTCATTGTAGACATAATCTGTGGTCCATATACAACAATATAACACCACTCGGTAAAATAACATGCTTTCCGTGGACAACATAACCACGGTATGCAGACGAATCCCCACACTCCAGAGTGCTATGTGACCTTTGAGATTCATAAATAACATCTACTGACATATCATTTCAAAACTCTGTTTTGACCACATGCACCGCCGACAGAATGTTTGACCCAAGGAAGTTTGCTTAACAAATCTAATGATAAACTGTGKGGTTTCTTGACATTATGCGTGCGATGTGKAGAGCCYCCACTATTATTTGTCTGMTCTCATTCCAGACACATATTTCGACAATTTCCAGGTTCTTTTGACCGGAACACATGGCCCTTTCGAACAAAGTACTATCATATTTCAATATTTCTTGGATAATAACAATATGCAGGAACATTTGGAGAGCAATTTTTCTTGGTCTTCCTGTGTATGTAACGTTTACGTATTAGATCAGCTTACGTAAAATTTTACGTGACATCCTGAAGGTAGAGCAGGAATAGGGAAAGATAACGATGTCATATTCCCACGCGATAGCCTAATAGAAATGTTAAAGAAACCGAGAAAATGAAAGCCCACGCCCCCATATTTCCGTTTTAACCGGTGTAAACTAGAAAAATCAATAGAGCAGCTTTCCTCCAGTCTACAGTTTCGATTTCCGCGTTACTTTTGTTTATCTCGGATGAAGTATAAATAACCAAGAATCAAGCATCAAAAAAATCTTTAAAAAACGACATTTGTACCTGAAAGAATATGCAAAACTGTCCAATATGTCAAGTCATTCATAATATAAATCCTATACGTGTACTTAGATTATAAAGGGTGTCCTTTATAGAGGTGTCCGTAGACAATGGACGGGGGAATGGATGATGACGTGATACGACACATGTGAAGTTTCCGTTTCCCACTCAAAGTACAAAGAAATCGAGTTATGCAACCGATGTTTGTCGGTGACATATTGGTTTCTGAAAGGATTTGACTATGTAGAGGGAATGTCGAATGGATAAATACGAGATGGGTGTGGTAATCAATACATAAATATATGAATCAGTAAATGCATAAAGAGATGGATGGATGCCGGGATGAATGGATGAAAGATCACATGTATGAACGGTTAAATTAACGAGTGATAAAAAGGAATACACAACTGAAAAATGAATAAAGAAAAAATTGAAAGAATGAAAGCCCATGTGAACTAATGAATAAACGAATAAAAGCTCGCCCACAATAGCTCTCACGTACTCTGATCCTGGGCGATGCTTAGGCGTATGATTCTTATCAGCAGATTTAACCAACAGTAATTCTGTCAACAGGAAACACAGCTTTTGTTTCTAGTATGCCTTTATCATGTCTATTTATGTTGTTCTAATGGGCGTTTTAAGGAGAGTAAGGGTGACCAAGATTCAGATCACTGCTTTAACCTTTTACAATTTTATTATTGAATACCATGCTTGAGCGTGAAATGCGATTGGAGTTTTAAATTCACTCTTCAGCTTTCTAAAGATGTTTTTCTAGGCACAAGATACAGGGCATAACAAGATAATCTTGCCCTTCCGTTCAATCCCATAGAGCGAATCGAAAATAGCTGACGGATAGTATCGTCTTATTGGAAAAGCTTCTCAGTCGTAAACGCACAAAACAAGAAGAAAAAAGCCTTTGCAATTCTATATGAACAAGAAGCTAGTCAGCCCTTTTGTGAAAATGTTTACTTCCATGTATTGTCGAAATATTTCCTAGTGTAGCGATAGTGCGAAATTACAATATACGTTTTTGCCCTGAATAGAGCCCTATATTAGGTTGTTATAGGGAAAAAACCGACGTAATATCTTATGTTCAGATGTAAATGTAAATTATTGTATTGAGAATCATGACGAATGTATCAAGTCACAGTAATAGACGGTTCACACTGACACAAGCACAAACAGATGCAGAGGCGGTTCACACTTTGACACAAGCATAAACAGAAGCAGAGGCGGTTCACACTTGACACAAACGTTAGCATCTTCTTACGTCACCATGATTTACACTCGTAATAATCAAATTCAGCACTAACAAAAACATTAGAATATTTTCTTAAGTTTCTGCTTCCGTTCACACGTACAAAAATCTCTCTGCTTTTGCAAACGTCATGGTGTGAGGCTGCCCTAAGACTGAACTAATTACAAACGCTGTCAAATGTACAAAATAATATAAAATTATATTTTCACGATTTAGATACGTTTCTTTAATTTCATCAAAACAGGAAAAAAGTTTTCAATGATAAGCATAAATGTTTTAAATATCTTTGTACATTAAACAATCCAAATGTTACCAATAAATATTTTGAGACATCGATTTGCAACACTACATTGTAGGAAAGGAGTGGGCACAACGTGGGGAAACATTTTCCCTAAATTGTTTTTCTGTCTGAGTAGGTTTTGTCACAACGAGGAGGCACGCAGTCCGTAAACAAGCTGTGGTAAGACCTCCTACGCAAGCTATATGCACAAAAACACTTTAATCCTCATTTGCAACTCTTTCCAAAGAAATATCATATGACTAACCTTAATGGAGCCGTTAAAGATGCAGCAGTCACGTGTTGTGTGGGACCAGTTCTTCCATATCTTGATTTCTCTTTTAAAAATGAGCAATAAACATGTACACCGAATTAGAATTGGAAAAAAAATTGAACTTCAAAAAAAAAGAATAAATTAAAAAAACAACAAGAACAAAAAGATCACCCGTCCTTGACGCTTTCTTGTGTTTAGTTCATATAAATTATTTTTAAAGTATTTTTGCTGAAGTAAAATGTTCTCTCTATTTTCTGTGACAACGTTTTCTTTCTTTCTTTTTTTTTCTTTCTTTCAGTGATAACGTTGCTATTACGTGGATCAGATGACGGGTAAATGAACGAGCAAACAAATTAATGTATAGATACCCAAACGAATGGGGAAATGAATGGATGGTTAAATGGATTAATAAGTGAATGGAAAATAAAGGTATTTAAAATGGATGTAAGAATGAATGATGGTTTGAATAAATGGATTAATGAATAAACAAATGAAATGAATAGCTGAACAAATGCAATGCAGACAAAAGTTGGGTGAATTTCATAATAATATATAAAATAAAGGATTCAACTGAATGGATGACTGTAGCCTCCTCTCCAGGAGTATTTCCTTTCTAAAAATAACGGGTTTCCTGTGTTAAATCAGCTAGAGAGTAACAAGACTTTTTTCATTCCCCTCTCCCAGTCCCCTCTCTTCCCTATTTTTTCCCAGGGAACCCAAAGTACATAAAAACTAGAAAAGTGAGAAGCTTCTGAAAAGACTTACCACTGTAATCAATGGGTTCATATTGATTGTATGACAACAGAGGATCAATCTTGTCTGCATAATCAAAATGTACTCTCTTTTTCTTAGATGTTAAGTCTAAATACTTAATTCCTTTACTTGTAGAGTGTGGCGTTGGTCTTGGTGGTTTCTTACGAGGAAGTGGGGTCTGGAGTGGAGAATCGCTGGAGGACAAAGAGGAGTCCTGGGGTGTTGTCCGTGTCTTGGTGTTTTTCAAAGGCTTTCTTGATAATTCTATAACAACATTTCATGTCAATGTTGTAAAGAAAGCCAATGATGAAATGATTGATTGATTTGTGTATCCAATTACTACGAGTGTTACTAACTGCTTTATAGACACTGCAAAGATTTTAAACTTGAATTGCTGCTTGCCAAAACCTTACAGCAAAACATATGGTGTGTGCAGTTGTATAAACTAGTTGTTTTACTTTATATGCTCCTTTACTTCCTAGTCTGGTTGAATCAAATAATCCAATGGAAACATCTTTTTGGTAAGGAATTACAAAAGCAACCTATGAAATAAACATATCAAGGAAAAGACAAGTTCTTTACTATTGCTCACCATGTTGAGGTAGCTGTTTTGCTGGGACATATGTCTGTGGGACAGTCTGAGTGTAGACGGTTTCAGTTTGTGTTGCTGTTGGATGAGAGTTTACCATTTCCTGCATCTTTGATGGCTGTATTTTATTTGAAGATGAAGGATAGCCATTGTAGGGTGTAGTGGTTTGATGTTTAAATGCTTGTTGAGAGCCGTTATCTTTAGCAGGTTGCTGCTGCTGCATGCCTGCTTGCAAGAAATGTCTTGTCTGGTTTACATCTTGATTTATTGATCTTTGTGGTTGAGTATGCTGGCTTTGAGATGGAGGAGAGACAAATGGATGTTCCTGTACTAGTTGATGCATGAATGAAGGCTGGGCAGCCTGTGGTATAGCAGTACTTGGGTGCCTGTCAGTTGGCAGTGAATATTTTGGATAGTCCGATGTGACTACTTGAGGATAATTTGGTTTTGTATTTACAGGTGATGYTACACCAGTAGAGGGTCCATAATGRACGTTAACATGGTCATTACCAGAGGAAGGAMCAGAGTAGGGATTGACTGGTCTTTTWTTCATTTGGGATTCCTGTGGAGAAACATCCCATGAAGTTATGGCCCTATATTATGATGATAATGGTATAATAATTTGAGTTAAAGTATCAATTAAAAATATATCAAACCTGTGCACTCAGGAGCTGCTGTTGGAGCTCCTCTAATTTTCTCAGCCTTGCATCAACTTGCAAGAAGGGAGCAGTTGCAGCAGAGGCRGCTGCAGCAGCAATAGCAGCTGCACTGGCAACTTGGCTTTCCAAGGGAGCTTCAGCAATCTTGAATTCTTCTTTATCTGGTTTTTGTGCCTGCTTGGAAGTTATTATTGTTGGCTGAACTGAGCGTTTGATTGGGGCACTTTTTCTGTCCTGTCTAAATCAGAAAAATCAAACTTTTAATTGCCAACGTAAGACACTGACAGCTAAAGAACAAAAAAAGTATTAAGCAAAGTATTTTGAGGATTACCTTTTCGTGAATTCTTCCTTTAGGAGTCTCTCTCTTTGACTTAAAGTAAATGACTTTGCTTGAACTGAATCTGCAAATGATGGATAACAGGCATTTTGAAAACTGAGAAGTTCTATGGAAGATGCTTTGAAGAAGTCAAAGAAGAAGAAGTCTTTCTCATTATTATGCTAATGATAGTAAAAACAAAGTTGGAAAAAAGGGTTCAGCATATTGTTACCTGATCTTCCAGTATTACCAAAAAGAATCCCTGTAACACGGTCACCTTGGCTTAAACCAATACCATCATGACCCTGCAAAACCCTTTATAGCATTAGCCCAAAGAACAATATTGCTTTTTACATTCTTGATAAACAATTTTGGATTACCTTCCTCCAATCAGAAATGGATTTCACTTGCTCCTCTTGTTTTTCTTGACTGACCTGTTCATTTACAACTTCTCTGGATTGCAAATGGGATTTATGCTTTTGAGATTGCTTCCATCCCTTATCTACATCATTAGCCTGTAGGATCTCATGCGCATATACTGTAGTAGTAGAGGTGGGTTCCCTTTGTGATGATACTGAATGTTCAGGAAGGTGAAGTGGACTACTGGTTGACATGGAAACCCAAGCTGATGGACCATTGACATGGCGAACTATTTTTGGTGTTGGTTGTGTGTCTAATATAATTTGAAAAAAAGAAAACTATATTTAGGATTAACCTGCAATTAAGATAGTTTACCTATGTATAACAGAGCTTGATTGATATGCCACTTATATAATTTGCTGCTGCCATATTATGTCACACCTGCGAATGCCTCCCATTAGAGTTGTTGCTCATTTATCCAGCATCTGTGTTGTTCATGTTTTTACAGGATTCTTGATGTGGTATACGACAAGAAATGCTTTGTATGTACATTGATTATACGCAGTTATCAAAGCACTGCCATGCAATGCTGGTCATAAGATATTGGTAGCAAACTGATCACGTTTAAAGTATTTTAGGTGATGTGAATCTCTTAACGTAGTCAACTCACCTGCAAAGGAATTACCTCCACTGCCATCGATACTTCTATTTACAGGAGCCTTGATCTCCCGTAGCAAACTTGAAGGAACTCTTACCCTAACTGCTGTACTTGTATTGAATGAGCTATCTAACGACGACAAGTCCATTTTGTCTACATCCCTGTTTCCTGTAACACTCGATGAAGAATTTGAATCTGTACCAAGTTTAAGAACAGCTCGCTTATCACTAAATGAGCTTGAATCATTTCCACTGGTGTTGAAAGACAGCTCGGAGGACGATCCATTTTGACGATCAACTGAGATTTCTTTCGATGGCAAACTAACTGATTTTACTTGATTGTCTTTAGTTGTTGGTTCTGTAAGAGCTTGGACTGCAGCGTTCGTAAAAGAGAGCAATTCCCTTTGTTGTGCTGTCGGTCGAGTTCTTAGACTAGTTGACGTTGAAGGCTTCATATCTTCACTAAATATTTCAAATGTAACCTTAGATTTCCATCTTCCAATGTAGTTTGCTTCTCAACGCCAATCATAAAAGTATCATTTTGAATCACGTCGCCAAAACCATGGCTTTATGGATTGTTTACTACTATTTCGTTTCTTCAAATCTGCCCGCCATTTTAAATTTGAGTATTTCAAAAATATGTGAGCCGACTGTATCTTGTCAGCGGCAATGTAAATATAACTTTTTATCCAATCAAAATAACTGTAGTATTTTTTGCTTGTTTTTATGAGCCAATAGAAAGACATATAAGATTGAACAAATTCTCCCATGAGTCTTAGAGGTGTGCAAACAGCTGAAAAATAAACGAAGTCAGCTCAAAAATCATCGTGAAGTTTTCTGCTGATCATTGTGTTTCATCTATACTGGTTCTGTTTAAACTTATGGAAGAAAGATCAAAAATGTCAGCTGCCAATGTAGAAGTTCTTGAAGAGCTAGGAGAACTTATCGAGGACATGACAACTACAGGACAACCCTCACTCGATGAAACCCAACTCAAAAGACTCAAATCTATTTGCAAAACCTCAAATTCGTATATCAACCATGCTTTTCATTTGGTGATGACACAATTGAAGAAATACCACGCAGAAATTAGACTTTCGTCTCTCCAAATAATTTCTGAACTGTTTACTAGATCGCATGTATTTAGAGAGCTTTTATTGTCAGAATTCCAAGTATTTCTTGAACTGGTTGTTGCATCTGATGCAAAGAAGCCTCTGCCACCTCCATCTAGCACTGCCAAGACTTTGAAAAACAAAGCAGTTGATGCAATTGAAAGCTGGCACCAGAGTTATGGAAGCCATTACAAAAAGCTGGACCTTGGCTATCACTACCTAAAACGAATAAAACATGTGGAATTTGATGCTGTTCGAAACAGGACACTAGTTGAAAGGAGGCATGCTCAGGACAGAGAGGAGAGAAAACAGAGAATATTAAAGAAAAAAATTGATAGAGTTGAAAATGAGATAGCAGAACAATTAGGACACATAGAACTCTGTATAACGGAGATAAACAACTGTTTTAAGCTACTGCTTCCACATCCAGACGATTATGATGTTCACAACGTTGAGACAGCAGATGTTTGCTCTTTAGAGAGCACCCAAACAGAAAAGAAGGGGAATTCTGAAAMRGAAACTGCTACAAATGAAGAGTGTGAACAAAATGTTGACAGTGTTAATAMAAYAGAAGATAACAATGGTCAARATGCCAGCGAAAATAATGATTCTTACGTCAACAAAAGTGATGATAATTTGGATGATACTGTTGCTAACAATCTCAAAGATCATGGCCTTGGCTCTAGAACTTATGAAATAAACATTAAGATTAATGAACTACAGCCATCAGTGAATGAAACTGAAGATAACGCGATTGTTTTAGAAACAACTAGAGAAATGAACAAAGAAATCACTCATAAATACCTGCCAATGGTAAACCAATGGTTRAATACCTTCTCCAAAACAGGTTACAGTCAAAAGAGGATTCAAAGTGTRATTGACTTAAAAAGACAGCTTGTATCTGCCAAGGAAAAGTTTATTGAACTTGATATCACACCAATTATAGTAAAGGAGGATAAAGAAGTTGAATGCAATGATGATGATGATGATGATGATGATGATGATATGGTTGATGTGCCAGAGAAAGAAGGTATTGAGTTCATACCTCCTGAGCTAAGATCTGAGTATGGATTAGAGCCCTTAGACAGTTCATCTAAAGAAGAGTCAAACTCCACAGAACAAACAGATGCAGATTTCCTCAGCCAGCATGGTTTTACCTTGAAGGATGCTGAAGATCCCACATCACATGCAAGAGCTCTCCTTGAAGCAAGGAAAAAATATGGTGATATTGCAACTACAAAGCAAATTGAATCATCAACATCAGTTTCTACTTCTGCAGCTTCTTCTTTGTCTACCAAAGARGACGACAGTAAAAGGAAAAAGCTTCTTGAAAAAGCACCAGTCATTAAATTTGACATGGACCTTTACCACTGGGACGACCCCAACTATGAACCACCCAAGATAATCAGATCACATAACTTTCATAACTTCTGGGCATCAAAAGATGCAGAAACAGAACAGACATTTGAGGAAGCCAAAGGATCTATGATTAAGAGAAAAATATTTTTTGGAGGTAAGTTTGAGCCAGTGAAATGGTCATGCCGTGCTCCTCTTCCGAGTGGGAAACTATGTCCGAGACAAGATCGATACAAATGTCCTTTCCACGGAGTCATAATTGCTAGAGATGAAAACGGAAGGCCTGCTGCTGAGAGCTCTTCTACATCCACATCTTCTGCTCCATCAACGTCAAACACTGAGATGTGGCAAGACTTACAGAATGACATTGAAGCCGCCACTGGGATTGATCTGAACCAAAAAGTGAAAAAGYGCAAAGCAAGGAAAGCAGACAATCYAGATAGGAAGTTATCCAGGAAAGAAAAGTATGCTAGATTGACAGATCTGCAGAAGTCTTCAAAATCWCCTCAAAGTCGCCTAGAGAAGAAAGTGCTGAACAAGGCTTCATTGAAGAGAGTTGCAGCTGAAATGGATAGTTTAGCTACCAAAAGAGTTTTAGATAAGTTTGGTGATCAGTTTAATTATCACTTCACTGGAAAATAGGTAGTTTTGAAAGTAGACAAGGTAGGCAAAAAAATTTAATTGTTTGTCAAGCAACATTATTCAAAAGTTGAAGATAATAGTATAGAAATTATGGTGTATAGCATCTGTTCAATGTGTTTTGCAGACCTACAATTTATAATAACCATTGTAGCATTTATAAAGTACCACTACATACCCTTGTAACAATGCTGTTAGCTTCAAAGTCTCATTTGTATGTCAGAGCTGACATAAATATTTGTATTGCTGCATGGGCTGCCGATCCTGACAAAACTCAGGATTATCATTGATTAGCAATGGACTGCTATCAATCAACTAATACACTTTGATCTGCTGGGTGGTTGAAAAGAATGACATTGGTTTTAATTGATGACAGTCTAATTGCCTATTACTTTTTGTCTGTGTTGGTCAAGTGGCAATGCAAGCAATGTAATGGTAATCACTGTTTTTATGACTGACGGCACAAAGTATGGATGAATGAAAATATATTAAAGGACATTGTGATACATTTGTTCTAAATAGATCATTTATTATTATTAATGCATTATTTCAAATAAAATACACCAAAGATTCATTTTATTTGTTGTTTCCATTTAGACTTATAATTTAGTTTAGACTCTTAAAACTAGCCAAATGTTACTGTGTAATCATCCAATGAAAATAAAGGCAAATTCAGAGGTCTTTCATTTTCCTTAGAGTGTCACGTGCTCATTCGTAGAAATATAAAACGCTAGTGCCAGTCTCTTGATATATTCCCGGTCTTATGGACGACGATTATGATGAAGAGATTATGGACAGTGTTCAAGAGAATTTGTACAAAGTTTTAGTAATCGGCGAATATGGAGTAGGTAAGAAACTAAATTATGACCTTATGAATAAATGATCTTTTTTTAATCTTGAATTAATTTGATTTTTTTAGGAAAGGTGAGATCACGCGCCGCACGGATGCAGGCCTGCTCTTGGCCGGTGCACTTCGTGCTTTCTTGATGTTTACAAAACTTTCCTCATTTCTTTTGTACTAACTGGTTGTTTTATTCATTCTTTTTGTGGTTGCTTTGGAAAGACATCTATAATAAGAAGATATACAGAAGGTTTGTGGAAGAGCAAATCCAGTACTAGATAAACTTTGCAAATCTTGATGATCACGGATATTTTGCCAATGTTTTTGTTGCTAACCTACTTGGCTACTTTATAATTGTAACATATATTTGTTATTATTTTGTTTTATTTAGATGTATTGTATCTTTTGCATTTAATGTTCTAATCGGAATATTTTTCAAGATATTTCTTTAATAAATCTTGCATGGTTAAGTAAGTAGGATCTCTTCATTTCCGGTTTGGAATATTAATTGTAAATAGAAAATGGCACCATCTTCTGAATAAATTATACTTTTATCTTAAAATAACTGAAAATTATCGATAAAGATCGTTTCTCAATTTTTGTTTGTATCCTGTGAAACAAAAATGATAGAAAATGATCTATGCCAATGAGTGTTTTCCAATGTTACTGTTATTTATATTTACTATTTGGTTCACAGATTGGCACTCTAGAGTAATAAAACTTTGTCCATTACATATAGCATAGATAGTTAATACCTAACAGCTGATTAAAAAGATGCGAATGCTCACTTACAAGTCCAAGTTAGATGCATGTGAACTACAACTTGTCCCTTTTGAACCCATATTCAAATTCCTATAACATGTYGTAGGGATGGCATGTACACTTCAAATCACATGCAAAAGGTCACATCATGTAAATCTGYCTTATAGTTATTAGTCACTGMCACAAAATTGGCACATTTATAACAGTCATGGCATTGTTTTCTTTGTTTGTGTCTATGCAGGATATTTTTCTCCCAACTACAAACTAACGATAGGTGTTGACTTTGCACAAAAAGTTATTGATTGGGATGAAAGTACAAGAATAAATTTGCAACTCTGGTAATATTGTTAGTTGGTCATTATTTTCCATGCATGGTGACTTTTTAATCATTAGCTAGTTGTTTGTAATGTTTTTTTTTCCAATTCTAGGGATGTAGCTGGGCATGAACGATTTGGTCACATGACCAGAGTTTATTATAAATATGCGTGAGTATCTATTTTTCTGATTTAAGTAGCGTCATGTTCATGTACCAGTAGAAAAGCTTTTGGCATGAATAAGCGGTTATGCAGCATGGTATAATTGTTATACAAATTTTTCAATCTCACCATTTTTCAATTCAGTAAATATTTTGTATGCGATGTAACTGTGTATGTCTTTTGGATGATAGAATTGCTGCCGTAATTGTCTTTGATCTTTCAAGGTAATGATGCTCTAGCTTTGTATTCAATGTGTCATTGTTTTTGTTTTTCATTCATCTTTTTATCCTTTTCTAGACCAGCAACATTTGAAGCAGTATCTAAGGTAAGTGCTTTTCATAATAAATGGTCCAATAATAGTTTCTCTGTAATCAAATGATTTTTATTTGCCTCTAGTGGTACAGTGACATCAGTCAAAAAGTAATGTTAACCAATGAAAAACCTATACCAATCATACTTCTAGCAAACAAGGTAAGTTCAGGACTACAAGCATTCAAATATTTCA